TCGGATAATCCTCAGGGATATTAAACATATGTCATATGTACATTCTTAACTCAGATTCCCAGTTTTGGTATAAAACCAATAGTTCATATAATAAATTGAAAGTATGTAAGATTTCTATTAGAGATATATTTGAAGATTCCTTTTCCAATCCCATGTCTTCTATTTCAAAATGTTCTGCGAAAAACTGTAAAACCTGTGATATTTTGATAACTAACACTTCTTTCACCAGAAATCTTACTGGACAGAGCTTCTATACCAAAACTTGGGAAAATCTGAACTGCAAATCTACTAATGTTGTCTACGGAATAGAATGGAATTTTTGTGGACTTGTTTTAGTCCGAAATATCTGACGTTTTCCAGGCTTTTCTCACGATTTTGATATTTTACGTACCTGGCACATAAAATATCAAAATCGTGAAAAATGCCTGGAAAACGTCAGATATTTCGGACTAGACTTGTTTATGTTGGTGAAACCAAGGGTTCACTTCATAAAAGAATATCGGGTCACAGATTTCAGATCAACAACGGGGGCCAGCAGCTTCTCTACAAGCACTTTAATTTACCTGATCATTCAATTTTTGTCAATGAAAGTTAAAATTCTAGAAAAAATTTACCACCATACAAACAGTCCATCACTGAGCACACCTTTCCGTAGACAGCGAGAAGAATTTTGGATTAGAAAACTAGGGACAGCCTTTCCCTGTGGATGTAATGACAATGTCGATAGTGTTGGAAATCTTTCCAGTCCACAGTGTACATGTAACAATGTAAATGTGATGGGAGTTTTTAACCATACACAGAGACGTAAGCGTAGTCATTGGCATCGGTCTTACAAAAAACCTTTAATACACGATGTCTTTGATTCATTACTACCTTACGTAAATCAACAGTTAGGTCTACATCATATTCGCACCAAACTTTACTCTGTCCCTTTGAAACTTTTACATAGGGCGTGCTTGATTTAGCTTAACTTGGTGTACACCAGTGTACACCGGTGTGAAAGATGGTGGTGTATAATCAAGTGCATTATACGAGGTGTAGTGTATATGGTGTAGTATATGTTTTGCATCTCGCCAGTGTGTGGCTAAACATTTTTGTTTAAAGTGAAAAAAAAAATTAAAAAACCATTAATAATTGCCTAATTATTTAAGATGGTCAAAAAATGATTTCAATGTCAACACTTACACACAAAAGATAACTTGAATGTGGTTTCTTATCCTTTATATTACATAAAACCATTTCTTAAATTTTCAATCGTACCATTCTCCGCCATATTGGATTCAGTGTACACCTTTCAACACATGCCCTAAATTTAGTGTAAGAAAGTGTACACCGAGTGTACACCAAAAGTCTACACCCCTGCACTTGATTAAGAAAGGTGTACACGGTGTAAGCGGTGTAAGTAAATCAAGCGCGCCCATAGTCTTCTTGAAAAGGTCAAGGAAAGTCCATTTTTTGATTCCTCGACACCAGAATATAGGCTCGGATCTGTGATTACGGATATTACAAATCATAGGCTTTATAAACCCTCACGTTTTACTGAAGAAGAAGCAGCTAAAACAGTTCGTTTTTTTCCTTAAACTTCAATATGCCAACAAAGGAATTGACGCGGTTAATATAAGTAATATTCTTAATCACAACAAGGTCCAGTCTTGTATTCCATCATATTTCAAGTTAAAGTCTACACATTGTATTTACTACAAAGATACATCGACTATTGCTTCCAAACTTTTTTAATTACAAGAAAACTTTAAAGTGCCTGGATATCGAATATCTGAAACATAATCCTCCATCGTGTTCTTGTTCTTCTTCACCCTATAACTATAGTACTGATGGACACGTTATGACTGGTGACGTAAATATAGTTAATAATGAAGACCTTAGATCACTAATTTTGAAAGGTCCAAAATATAGGGAAGCCCGATCCTTCAACTGGCGTTGGAATTTCATAAATATTATGGATTCTGTAGAGTATTACGCCAGGCGATGGGCCAGACATGAAAAAGAAGACCTTGACACTTTGTCAGAATGGGTTAAATTATCAGATGTATGTTAAAATCGCGCATTAAAAGATTGAGGGACAATATGAGAACCATCTATCCTTCTGTATTCAATAATCCAGAAGTGAAAAAGAAATAGATAGATTACATGATCAGTACGTACTGGTCCCTGCTGACAAAGCAGGTAACAACATTGTCTTTGTTTGCAAGGCTCATTATATTAAATGTATTTTAGAGGAACTTGGATTTAATTCTACAAGTGGTAATCCAACTTATACTCATAGTTCTCTTTCTAAGGAAGAAATTCTTCAAAATCATATGTCAGTTTTGAATATTTTTAATATTCAAAACAACCAAAATGAATTTGAATTGGATTTCGAAACTTCATAAAAATCCTTACAAAGATACATGTACATAGCGGGTTCCAGTAAATGTTCAACCAAGCCTCTTTCTTTACTCCTCAAAAGAGGCTCGAACCCTGTAAACATATAGTAAAATATCAACACAAGGGATCTAAGTCCAAATTACATGAAGTACCCCCTCCCCAAATCGCAATCATTAACACTTTCGGAGAAAAGGCACTGACAAAATGTTGATTACTATTCTTTTCTATGATAATTCATTTAAACAACTGTTTCCATAAATGACATGTTTGTCTTTATTTTTAGGTCACATGAGTCAATCAGGTGATCTATTGCAATCCGTTGTCGTTGATAACCATGCGTAGTTCGTATACTTTTGAACATTTTTAGCTTCTTCTCTGGAACTGCTGAACAAATTTCAATAAATTTTTGTATATAGCATCTTTTGGCAAAGGGGGGGGGAGGGGGCAAAAATTTTGAATTCATAGTCCCCTACCCCCGGGGGGAAGTTGAGGGATGGGACCAAAACCATTAAATTGAATATAGTTTTCAAAAATCCTCTTCCCTGCTCCTGGACATCAAGCAGTCAAACTGTCGTCTTGACTATAACATACAATGAGTCCTATCAAAATTGTGAAATTCATGGCCCCAGGGTCAGGGGTTTTGGAGTTCTGTGGGGCTCTTTAAATCATAGAGTGAAATTGCATAAACTTTTTAAAAAGCTTCTCTCCCCCTGTATATTAAACAAAGAAACTTAGAAAGATTGATTGGTTGATGACATGTAGTTTAACGTCCCTTTGAGAATTTTTCACTCGTATGGAACCGTCACCGTATGCCGGTATAGGGCTTCAAATTTAGAACTATATTCGGCACCTAGGGCGATTCTTTATGGTGCCAACGCCTTCCGTGACACGGGGACTGACCCGTAACTTTCACATCTAGTAACGGGCGCTTGGCGAAAGAACAGTAATTACCTATGTTTACTTCTTAGTTTTGACGCGGCGCGGTGAACGAGAATCGACTCTGACGTTTTTGCTCTGCTCCCGATTTGTATTGTTTAAATGGACTTTGATCTTGAATACTGTTCGTTATCTCCAAATTTCATCGAGATTTGTAAAATTTTCTTTGCATATTTATTTCAAACTTTGGACCTGTTTATGACCCAATCTATACCCGAGAAGCCTTGATAAAACAAACTTGAATAAAATTTTGACAATTTTTAGCCAAAAAGATCTTGACCGACTTTCCTTTATGATTTTGACTCCATTCTATTTTTAATGTTTTAAGACATATTTTCTTAAGGGAGGGGAAAATTCTTTTTTATTTGAACAAATTTGAACCCGCATCACATCGAGGTATTTTAAAAGCAAGGTTTTCTTGAGAAAGAAACGCTAAAGTAAAGAAAAATTTGAAGAATTCACGGACGCCGCACAGAAAGACGGCTGGCCTAATACTCGATATCTACCTTTAGCTTGTAAACAAATCTGTAAACCGGATACCATTAAAGAATATACGATAGAATTAAAGTCGTGCTCGAAGTGCATATTTATCTTACTACTTTTCTAGGGTTATATCAGGCCGATACTAAGACATGATTTACCAATATGTTTAAAGACCAAATCAAATATAGGTAAAATATAAATGAAAATTGCATCAAGTTGAAATATACTACATGCAAAATGTACTATATATTCCTTTGATGGATTGTAAAGATGCATGTACAGTGTACATGTATGAGGAAGGCTAATGTAGGTCGATAATATATTCGACAGCACTTCCAATGTTCCAGGAAGTTCCAGTTCCAACTTACATGTAAATGGAAACATCATCCTGAGGGGACTTTTTTCATGACAGATATTGCTAAATATCATAAAATATGGAGATAACGAACATTATTCAAGCTCATAGTCCATTTAAACAATACAAATCGAAAGCAGAGCAAACACGGACCTAAAAAAACAAACAAACAAACATCGGAGGCGGGATTAGGTACCATGGAGGAGTGAGCATCCCTTGTCGATCGGTCACAAGCGCCGTATGCTCCTTGTCATGATCGAGAAAAACGGAAGAAACCGTAAACAATTCATTTAGAAAATGGAGAGAAATATCAAAACTACTTATTGCGGCTCTATTCTCTGTGAAATGTTTTCCACCTTTTGGCTCTTAATTTTTTTCTTGATACATCCCCCGCCTCTCCTATGTATCTGCCAAGTTATTTTTAAACCAGTAATTTTTTCCTTATAATTTAATCCAACATCGCTTTAAATCGTTCTTTTCATATCAGTGAACATCAATCTTATAACGAATTGCCCAGTGGCTATCTTTTCTAGTTAAACTGTAAAACAATTAAAGTTATTAAGAAGTTCCAACGAATTGTTAAGTGCCTGTGTAAATAAGTAAATATTTGACAAGGTTTATAACAGTCCTTTAGGATTTTGGTCTTAATAAAATGTAGAGGATCTCTACGAGATCTGCTACTTGAATCATAAGCACTACAGGGTATAATGATAAAACCTCGACTTAACCGTGTAGCTAACATAATGCATTTGTAACTTTTATTTAATAATAATAATTAAGTAGTGAATTTCTGAAAATAAAATTTATAAAGACATATTACGATTAAATTAATGACATTTACCTTGATATCTCTTTCTGGTGATCAGATGTTGTGTGAATGGCGTATGAGATGATATAAGTAACTTCTTGCCTCAAAAATTCCGACCTATCATAGCATGTAAATCTGAATTTAATTACATTCATCCTTGGTCCCTATTTAATAACGAAGTGTGCCTCTCTTAATACCACTGTCATTCGGCCTATGTTCGAGATTTTTATTACTTGTCATCCATCCGAACCAATATACAAGCAACTGCTAAGTGTACTTACCATCGGTTTCAATCTTAATTGTAAATTTTTAAATAAGAGAGGGACTTTGACATGTAATATAAAATCGATTTTCTCGACAAACATTTTATTAGTTTTAAGAAGTTGAGAATATGAATATACGCCAAGTTCTTGTTTGAGTTGGTAACTAAGGCTTACATAGTATTATATTTGACGCAAAGTAAGTTCATATGCAGATATATTTGACCTGATTTTGAAATTTATTACAGGTACATATGTAAATGTATTGAACATTTCCGTAAAAAAAAGGAATTGCCCACTTCCTACCTAAATTGAATTTGAAGGAGGTAAACTTAATTGAAAAAACTTCATGCATATTATATGCACCTGTCAAAGATTTTCTTCCTATCATGCATTAATTTACACTAGTTAAATATGTACAACGCGAGGTTAAGTTCAGATTTCCTCCGAGCTGTCCATGTACATTTTTGGAATCAACTCATCTTTGAGAATGATTTTTTAATATCACTCAAAAAATTGATACTACGTATGTATTTTGGTCGTCTTAAATTGTAACGCGCTGGTCTTTAAACCAATTAAGTTGTATAAGGTCCTCCATCAAAATTAAGTTTATTTCAGGATTAATGCTTCACTCAACAAGCAAACGATATACAAACAATACAGAAGGTTTCTGAAAGGACACCCTAATTGAATGCACATAATTCACATCATTAGTGCAATAAAATCAAAGTTAGCCAGGACAAAGAAAAAATAAAAATTAATTTTTCACCCCAAAACTATATTTATTCTATCAGAGGAGGTTACTAGAAAGTTAAATCACCAAATGTTTTATGTAAAAACAAATTTTTGAGCACAAGTCAAAAATCCGCATCTCAAAATAAGTTTCTGTCAATTAGAGACTGTTTTGAATACATAAAGTCAATTACTTACAACTACATAAAAATTATGTAAACATTATTTTATGATGTTCAATAGGCCTTTGCCAGTTATTGTTATTGTGTTTGTGCCAATAAATTTTTGTATTTGTATTATTATGAATATCAATGTACCATAAGAATTTCATTGAATATCGCCATAATTAACATATGTAGAAAACAAATAAAATATCAATGAAGGCTTGTTTTAATTGCATTTCAAAATTACAATAACATCTGCAATTACAGAAAGTATTTAAAGTCTTCCAGATTATACTTGGACACGGAGGTCACCCCGCCTTAGATCTTCTAGTTTGTAAATGGTAGCATCCCCACAGTACTTGATATTGAACCACTCTCCATAACCTGGTACCTGTAAAACATCACAAAAAAGAGTTTAGAATGATCCTTTTCTTATGTCCTAGACTCTTGACCTTAAAACTAAATAAGTTCATGAATTCATCCTCTTTCTAATGTAAATAGAGTTCAAATTATAGAATGATTTATAAAAAAAAAAAAAAGCTCAGCAATATATATGCACCGTTATAACAAGTAAAAGCAAGGTTATGGTTAAGATGAAAGGTTACATGACATTTATATATTAATATATATTTCATATTTTTATTATGTTAATTATTATTATCAGATATATAAATTATTATTATTATTATTATTATTATATTATTTATATATTAGTTACAAATATAGATAATACCTGAGAAATTATTTGCCCATTATACCATGTTATTTTGCCATCAGTGTTAGTGAAAGTATGCTGCACCTTTTTGCCAACAATTACAGGAACTTGCTTATCTGTTTTTTCTGCTGCAGCACATAGTGACTTATTAACAAGAGACATAACATTTGTTTGAAGTTCCTGAACCGACAAGTTCTCCCTCTTCTCGCCCACTTTTTTTGAGAATGAGTACACATGTTGATCATCAACTTTCTGATGAAACACATTCTTTCGAAACAACAGCTGAGTTTTCAATGCAGATATTTTGTCCTTCTTGGTTTTAAGAATGCTAAGTGCAGAAATAACCTCATCCTGAGACTGCCAGAGCCCCCAGATTTGAATGCCATTAACGTGGGATTCCATTTTTTGGATTTTTCTTTCTTCTTTAGCTGCCTCCTCTGCTAACTTTTCATTTAATTTCCTCCTAGTTTCTTCACGTATAATATGCAGTCTGTGCTGATAAGATTTCCTTAATCTTCTACCTGAACAGATTTCTTTTCTTTCAATTTCGTCCTTGTTCTGTAGCCATTCCATTGTTCGATTGTTGCAAAACGACAGCATAGCCTCACTAGTGATAAGAGAAATATTCGATTTCTCTCGCAGTAAACGGTCCAGTTGTCCAAACACAGTCTCACTGGACTTACTGTGTTTTGGAGTGGCTTTCAAATTTTCCTTCAAATCATTTTCAACATCATCCCATTTCCCACCAGGAAGGTAATCCAGTAACAACCTTTCCATTACACGGGTTAACGATGGGAGCATAATTTACAAGCTTTTGATACATTGCTGATGAAGCTAGGTGTTCTTCGCTTACAAATGACAGAACAACAGATCCATTTATGAAACTTCTAAAGTTAATGTTTTGAAGATCGTTGATAAGTTCAACTTTCATGTCAAGAATGGATACATCTTTACTTTCATTCAAACACCACAGCGGTTTTGTAATAAGTTCTGAAACTAGTCCTAATGCCCTACAGCCACCTAAGTATTCTTGAATGCCAAGGTCACACTGTAAAAATTGCGTTTAGGAAATAAACACTTCTATTACATGTTTAGATCTAAACGTGTATAGTATTGTGTTTAACAACTAAACACTTATGTCTTAACATGTTTTATATCTAAACGCGTTTAGAAATTAAACACGTTTTACTGTAAAGTGCAGAGTTATCTTCCCGGAAATGACACACATACATTTGAACGTTAATTTGAGCGGCTATCTAAACAAAGAAAACACAACAAGCTAAGGTGATGTATCAATGAGAGTTATGACAACCCAATTCAAGGGATAACCATGACGAAATAGTGAAATACGTGAAAGGGCATCTTGTTACTGCAATACATTAAAGGTTTGTTTTCTTCTTCTTTGCATTAATTAACCAAGATGAGCAACGTAAATAAAGTTGACTTGGGATATCTTGAATTCGTTCATAGCCTTGCATAATAGGAAATATTATTAAATGTCATTAAAACATCTATATTTATATCAGTGTAGTTTCTCTTAAATTGGAACAATTTTGTTTTTCCAAGCAATGTAAAATATCAGTGATAGTGTACTTTTTTCTAAAATCTGGCTTTATTTCCTACAGGCACTGTAGTCAAGATCGAACTCAAAATACACGTGTCAGAGTAGCTGGTGTCATCTTCAAGTGCAATTTTGTTGTTCCATAATCAACACTTTGAAACTTCATTTGTTGAAGACTACTTTGTTAATTCGACAGTGTTTACAATTATCCTTGTGCATTCGAAATGGATTACTTTCTGGCAGTTATTGATGGGATATAGATTATAATATGTGGTGCTTTGGGACTTGCTGAAAGTTAATAAAATTTGATATTTTTGTGATTGACATGAGGAAAACTCTGCAGCCGATTCAAATTATAATAATTATAATGAATATGTACATAAATTTACAATTTGTATTTTTAATTCAACAATTCTTCAATAAAGCCTTTTAGAAATATTCAATGAAGTTTTGATATTAAATTGTCAGCTTAATATTATTTTCTTAATAATTTTGAAGATTAAAAGTTTGATATCTATGTGTACGTTATATATTATGTGTCATTCTGATTGACTCGTTGAGACTAATCAAATCTTTTCAGTTCTATCTCCTACATTATTTGTGTAAATTAAGTACATGTACATCACACAGTGTCCATTCTATTGTATAATTAAATACATATCCCAACGTTCAGTGGCTTATGGAAAATAATTAATATTGGTTACATATTTTGAAAATGTTGACAATTATGCGCATTTAAAAAAAAAAAATACTTTCTGTGCCTAAATTTACGAGAGTGTTTTGTTTTTCTGCAGGTCCAATTTAAACTTATGTTGTGTTTAGATTTTAAACATATCTGCTGTTATGTGTTTAGAATTTAAACACTTGTGTTTATGTGTTTTCATGTGTTTAATTTCTAAGCACACAAGTGTTTAAATTCTAAACACTTTCTAAGACATGTTTAGGAATTTTACATGTTTAGAAATTAAACATATAAAAAAGGAGGTGACAAGAAAGTGTTTAGAAAAGTGTTTGAATTGTAAACACATTTTTTACAGTGCATGTTTAACAGATTTTAGCAATCTATTGCTATCTCCTCCATTCAGAAAATGTACCATAAAATCAGATAGGAAGAACACACTGGCTGCATTGCTAAATAAGATGTTAAACCTATTCCCCCTGAATCTTTCTAATGGCAAGGCATGCAATCTTTTCTCTTTTAAATAGTCGCTGACTAAAACCATAACTTGTCCATGGGCACCATTCTTTTCATCCCCATCCCTAGAGAAAGCTTATAATGCTGTTCGCACAAGTCTTGTTGTTCCAGATTCGTTTCCTTTCTTGAATGAATGGTCAAAAATTGGTGGTTTAGTTTCAAAAATTACATTCTCTGTCTCCACTAAAGACTTTTCTGCTGCTTCAGCAAGATGCACAAGAACATGCAAAGAACAAAAAAGTTAAACAGTCTATTTAATTTTGTTTTCTCATCATCACTCATGTCATTCCACGGTAATTGTTCCCTTAGTACCTCTGTTCTAAATTGCTGTAATAAGTCGTTAAATTTCATTTACGTGCTTGCTCGGTCAGACATTGTTGCCACTACGTTTTTCATAATTGCTTTTGAATCCTCATTATTTGCTGTTTCACTTGATTCATCTATATCTTTTAATATCTCCTTAAAAGTATCCATGGCATCCTGTCCTGACTTTGTCGCCATTTGCCCAAGTCCAAGGA